AGAACATTGTTGGGGTGCATACCCAGCCCGTAAGCTTCCTCCCTCGTCAACCACTCTAGAAACAACCTTCTTCCACCTCTGGGGTAAATCCCTAAGTGACATATTTTTCTCAGGTTATGAAATAAAGTTTTTAGCTATTAACCAAGGTTTGCTGCCCTTGACAGCACTTGATTGCCCAAGAAATCAGTTAACAATCCTCCATCTCTTCAACTATCTTGGAGAGGATTAGGGCTGTTATCAAAGATACACAGAAAAAAGAAAAAGCTGGTGCTCAGAATTACTAACAGGATTATTAAATACTTAGAATAAAAGATAGTCTTGAAAACAAATTGTTTTACTCCAATCACTAGACATTGTGAAAGACACAAGAGTGTTTGGGGTTTTTTGTTTATTTGTTGCAGTTACAAAATACTGACAGCCTAAAAGAGTCAAGAACATACCTTTTACTATGATAAACAGTGTTGGAAAAATAAACTGTGGTCTCTGAGTCATGCCCAGGTCAACTTGGGCTGCTGTTTAAACACCACAGACTGGGTGGCTTCAACAACAGATATTTATTTCTCACAGTTCTGGGATCCAGGATGCCCAGCATCCAGGTGCCAGCATGACCAGGTTCTGGTGAGAGCCCACACCCTCATCTCAGTGCTGGCACAGAAATGGAGAAAGAACAGTATCTCTTTCTCCTCTTATAAGGCCATTAACCCCGTCATGGGGGACCCACCTTCTCATTTGACCCCAACTACCCTTCAAAGGCCCTATCTCCAAATAACATTGTGCTGGGGGTTAAGGATTCAACATTGAATGGGGTAGGTGACTTAAATATTCAATCCGTAACAAGTGAATTTTCAGAAGCAGTGTGAAGAGGAGAAGTTTTGGAGACCAAAAAAGGGCTATGCATACATGTGACCAGTGAGGGTCCTGGATAAGGGGCCATTACTCCATTTCTGCCTGTGAATGAGCTACAGATCCATTTAGAGAGTCCCAGAGAAATTGGTATCCATTTCCAACTTCTTGGAATCCAGATGGGAATGATGACAAATCTCTCTGAGAAACTCTGGGTCCCTGAAAAGCAGAGTAGGGATGAGGAAGTATCGACATTAGTATATCCAGATCTAAGGGTCTTATATACAGCCTAAACACCCTAAGGTCCAAGGTTATGGAATAGCATTCAACATTGTTCTGTGCCAGCTGAGACAGATGGAAAAGAGCCAATAGACTAGAAAGGAAAAATCATGCCATTAGCAAATGTCGCACAGATCATACTAGTCAGATTTTATGGTAATAATCTTCAGCAGTAAAGGCAAGAAAAAAAGGGAAATGCCCCTAAAGGAGATGAGAAATACACATCGGCAGAGTCAGCAGAGACCAGAACTTGACCAAGAACCAATAGCCCTCTCGTTCCAACACATCTGATAGCGTAGAGTTCCCAGTCCTGCCTCATCCCTTTTCCAGCTTTAGAGGAAAGTAAAGAGGGAAGTGGGGAAGCTTGAAGTAACTAAATTAAAAATAATTAGGTTAAATCAGATCTCCTGCATTATAGGCAGATTCTTTACATCTCAGCCACCAGGGAAGGCCAAGTTTAAATCAGGTCTCTGTCCATGGAATTCTCCAGGCAAACTTTTACAGTATACGGTAATACCGGAGTGGGTAGCCATTCCCTTCTCCAGGTAAATTTTTACAGTAACAGCCAAAACTACACAAATCTCTCTCTAGTCATTCAGTTCTCCGCAAACTCAGCTTGTGTGTTTTTTACTTCTGCATATTTGCTGCTAACATTTTTTTCCTGAACTTCCTGAAATTCTCCAACCCTGCCATATTTATCTCACAAACACCAGACACATTACCTAATACATAAGGCGGGGTCAGTCAATGCTTCTGAGTAAACTAATGAACTGAATATATAAACAGATGAAAGAATGCTTTAATAAGGTAATGTAAGAAACAGGGATGACTACAATATTCTTCCTAGAATTGTCTCCCTATTTGAACCTTATCTGATTTATAGAAACAGGTAAAGCCTCACTTTTTTTTCTAAGAAGGATTTAGGGATCAGATGGTTCAGACAGTAAACAATCTGCCTGCAATGCAGGAGACCTGGGTTCAATCCCTTGGTCAGGAAGATCCCCTGGAGAAGGGAATGGCTACCCACTCCAGTATTCTTGCCATGAAAAGAGGAGTCTGGTGGGTTATAGTCTATGGTGTCACAAAGAGTCGGACACAACTTAGGGACTAACACTTTCACTTTTCTGCCATATGCATCTTTCTAACTCATAACATTCATTGCCATTTTACTGAATGTTATCTTGCAATATTCCATAACCATATAGACATATGTATGCATATGTATGAAATATAATCTCCTCCAAGAGTGTAGTCTTCTTTAGGACAGACATTATAGATTTGATGAGGATTAAATCAGGTGAATAAAGGCAAATTCCTAAACCAACAAATTCTCCTATTTTTCACAACACTAGCCGAAACCACACATGGTAAGGTAAGAAGTATAACCATATGGTCTTAGGACTCTAAATACAAAAAGACTCATCAAGTTTAATGACACTTGTCTACTATATTATTAAAGCAGAGTGCAGCAAATTCTAACAGGTTATGTTTCCTTTTGCTTTCACTGGGGTTGTTTACAGGGAAGAGAAATGCATCAAAGAAAGCAAAAGTGAGAAATACAAGTCTTCAGCTATGTCGTCACTCAGGCCAATTTTATCTATCACCTTTGCATTAATTACTGCCATGTCTGTACAACGTTTAGTAAATTTTACTGGGTGATTATCAAGAAAATGTAAGCTATCATTATTGGTAATAACCTGGTATCATTATCTAATTTTTCAACATTCATTAAATAAAACCAGGGAACTTACATTTGGAAAACAATTTTTTATGCAGCCTTAGCATAAGTCTGGGAAATTTGTATGGTTTGATAATGTACAAATTTTGCTTTTCTAAACTGTTCTTTCCCTATCTTTTGAATTCAAACTGCGAATAAGCAGACAATTGATTTTGGAAGTAATAGACAATGCATTGCACTGCACTTTACAGGATTTTCAAATAACATTTTTGTGGAGAGAGTGGACATGATAGATATCAATTTAGATAGAAAAAGTAAATAAAAATTTAAAAGGTTAACATTTATATTTTAGGATATTTTTACATTTCATAGATTCACATTTTTGCATTTTATGCTTAATTTTTTTTTTTACCCCAGAAGAAATAATGAGATCTTCTATATATTTTCCCCACATGATCAAACATTATAATATTATATCTGCACAACATATCTGTTTGGCTTTGTTAATGCTTATCAAGGTAACACCCCCTTTCCTGGTTTTCATTATTTCCATCTATTTTCCGTTGTATTCGTAAAGTAAGATAAAGAAACACTCAGAACTATCTTTGGAACAATAAGTTTGAATTCTTTCTTAAGCATAGATTTCTATACTTAAAAAAAACATTATTTTAGGATTGGTAAATTGCCACTAAATATTCTGGTTTTAACTGGGGTTATTTTATGATTATTCTCCATGTTTTAATCAGTGGATAATGATTTTTTTTCCCTTAAATATTTACACAGGCTTGAAAATTTAACTTTTGTCTGAAAAAAAAATTGATTTGGCTTTTACAGGTAATTTTTCAGTAAGAATTACTTTTCAATAATTTTTGCATCATTTTTGCAATGATGAATTTAGTTGAAACACATTCTCACTATTTTGTAGCATCTGTTTAATACATTCACTTTCTCTATAAAGGAGGACAGCAAACTGTATTGTAAGAAATCCATATAATTAAGGCACTCACAATTCAGACTTGTCTTTCGGTGTGAAGTAGAATAACATTACCAAAAGCCATTCTTTACAATATGCAAGTATAATTTACTTTCTTTTTCTTAATTCTTTAATAATTACAATAGGATATCTACTAATAGCTTTCATTTTCAAACATGAAATGAACATAAACGTTGATGGTAAAAAGAGAATTCATTCTCTCCATGAAAATTTCTGTGATGGTGGAAAACCAGGTAGGTGGTTAGGGGCAGGCAGCATCCTAACCTAAAAATGGGCAGCATTTTTCACCTGAGAGTTCCCCAAACATACTTTGGAATCACAGCAGAAAGTGTGAAATAGTTCCGTTGGGGAAGTGATCTCTTCCTAACCGTCATTATCTCCTTTAAAAAAATTTTTTTCTGGATTTAACCCAACTTCTCCCTTTATTTTTAAAATTTCCCTAAACTCAAGCACCTGCATCAGTTTCATGTCTCAGCCCTTCTTCCCTGAGTCTCCAGCCTTGGAAGACCCAGAGTTTACCTCAGCTCCATTCCATTGCTGCTGATTCACTAGAAGCTGTGTCTGAGACCAGCCAAAAACTACTTTTGTATTGTTCCCTTTTTCCCTGTGATAGGCTTTCTCTACAATGTTATATGTGCTGTTATTTCCATTTAACTTGTTCTGCTACAGTTTTTCCCTCTAATTTCATAATATGATTTTTTTTTGTTTGATCATGTCATCACATTCCTTCAGTACATTTATTACTTAGATTCACTTTGGAAATTAAAGAGTATAACACTGACAATGTAAGTTAAAATTAGTCTCTGTAGAAATTCTTAGGTTCATTAAATAAGATACATAATCTGTATAACCATAAGACAAAACAGTTTTCCAACAAAATCCACATTAATATTTTCCAAACAGCAATGACTTTCATTTTTTTTCATTTTTATTCTTATTTTCTAATTATCATTTCCTATTATTTTCTTATTATTTTGTAACACCAGCCAAAATCTTATTGCCCAGATTCTTCTTGAATGACTTCACAGCCCATTTTACAGACATTTTACATGAACAAATTTTTTTGTACTAAATCTATGAAAACTTTAGGCCGTCAATTTAAAGTAAGTAAAATGGCTCAGAGGTTTCCAAGGTTTTAATCACCTCTAGGCAGTGCATTTCTCCACATTCTGATTTTAAATTAAAAACAGCTAAAGAAAATCTTACCCCAAAAGTGTTCTGGCCATGGGCTCCCTAAGCTTGTTGTGTTATTAGCCATAATATCCACAAAGAAGAGAAGAGAGAAGAAAACCCAGTGTGCCCAGAAGAACTTTGAGTCTGTGTCTTTGTAGTTCGGCAGGAGAAAAATAATTTTCACACAACCTCTCATATACTTGTGCTTGCATGAAAGGAAATAAGTGTTTCATGTTTCCTGCTTTTATACTCAAATTAGCAACTGTTTTTCTTATCTTGGAATTCCACACAGTTCCTGAGACACAAAACAATTTCCTTCTCGTCATTTCCTCAGCTCAGTTGCTAAGTACCCGCCTTTCCCCCACCTCCAATCTGCTTTGGGGACATGAGACTCCTTTTCTGTCCTTTCCTCATCTCCTACTGACATGTAGAGGATGATTTCAAACTCTCAGCCACAGCACTTTGGGTTAAATTTGTGTCGGATAAAGAAATATACTGAAAAAAAAACCCACAACACTGCCTTCCAGTGTTTTAAAACTATAATATAGTTTAAAAACTATATTTATATAGTAAGTTGGGGGTGGAGGGGAACTCTTCAGAAATCCATAGTCTGTTCCAAAACAATTAATTTTATCCAATACTTATTTTTTACAATTCTCACTAAAATTCTAATGTCTTTGGCTCTATTTTGCATATTGATTTTGAAAAGGGAATTCTTTTTTTTCTCATAAATACCTCTAAAATGTAATCTATATTTAATTTTTTAAATTGGCATGTAAGTATGAGAAAAAAACAGTTTCTATACTGATGGGCCCTATTTATTTTTTTATTTTTATTTTTTTGATGGGCCCTATTTAAAACCAATTAGGGGAAATCTAAATGTAAACATTTAATTTCAACAGAATGTTAAGCACTCCGTTGTAAGGAGTACAAGGATAACTATGTTTTTCTTCATGATGAAGTGATGACTTTGGTACTCTGTATGACAGTATGAAAATAATTGTACCAACTGGAGAAAAAGTAAGACAGAAAGCAACATCAACAAAGAGAGGAATTATGACAACACTGTGGGTATTCTGGATATCACTATAGTGGAAAGTGGGCTTTGAGAAAGAATTACATGAGACCTCTTGGGAAACATAAGTTAGTTAAAATTTCAAGAGTCTTTGCAAGTTTTACTATTTAGACTGGATTCTCTGCGCATTGGGAAGGCATCGGAAGTAGGAATAACAGTGCCATACCACTTATAATAGCACTAAGCTGTTAAAAATCTGGTTTCTTCCATCTTTGAGCAACTCTAGCATTAACTCTTGTACAATTCTCATTCATCCCAATTGTTATCATAATATGACTTAGTGTGAAGAAATAATCATCTTCATGAAACCTATCATATATTCCTGAGTAGCTCTAGGAAAATCTGAAAAACCATAATATGAAGTTGATCCCATATAAATTTTTGCAGTCTTGATTCTCTAAAATTAAGTTGTTTCTGCTCATTTAAAAAATTTTGATATATTTGCATCAACTTTAAATTCATTGGAAATTAAAATATAGCCACCTAAAGGAGAATAATGGAATGTTATAGAAAATTTAGAGACTCCACTGTGCAAATATGAAAGTCATCATCTCTATAATATTCTTGCTAAGGTTTATTTCCATATAATTGAATAAGTAAGATACTCATAGTTTTGCTTAGGAAAAACAAAAAAAAAAGGGACTCACAGTTTAATAGTTACCTTTACTTTTCAATATTTTTGACAGAATTTATAAAAAACATAAAATTAAAAATTATCTTATTTCTGGAAAAGCATAATCAGGATGAAAATATGTTGAAATACTTCTGAATTCTAAATTCTTGTGGGATTTGTCAATCATTAGTTTTTTAAAGTATTTATTTATTTGATCTTTAGTTACAGCACACAAACTCTTAATTGTGACAGGTGTGATCTACTTCCCTGACCAGGGATTGAACCCGGGTCCCCCTGCATTGGGAGCATGGAGACTCAACCTTAGCCACTGGACCAACAGGGAAGTCCCTACATTATTTTTAAGTGCACATGTTGTATTATAGGCTAGCTGATTTGATATATACTAATTACAAAAATGGATATATTTTTATAAAGAGTTATACAGAGTGCATTTGATCTAAAACAACAAACCAGATGAGTGGAGCAGATGAGTCTGGTTTGGTGGAAGCGACTTCTATACGGAAGCTGGGCTCACTCCATCTCAAGGCTGGGATACAGTTTGAGACTTCCTTTCATTGTTTCATGCTTATCTAGATTTTCTTCCAGTTTTCACTTTTGCAGATGTTCAGAAGCCAGTCAAAACTCTGAAGAAATTTATTTTCTAGCACTTTATGGCCTAGGAATATTTTTCTTTTCTGTAAACAGATGTGTGTAACATTTGCTCTTATCTGTGCATATAATTTGCTTAGTAAAAGATTCATATTTTTGTTGGCAGAGATCTACAGAAGTGAATATTTATGTCTATGCCATTTTTAAATATCATGACTTGTAATGACAAAACAGGAAATTGATTTTTATCTGTAAAAAAATTGTTAGGTCTTTTCTTCTACTGTTCGTTATTTCAGAAGATAGGTCTTTAGATCTGGATTCCCCAGTAGTCATACAACGCATTTGGAGGCTAGTTCTTCCTTATAGAGGTGGCTGAGACTGTAAAGAATGTGCCTGTAATGCAAGAGATGCAGGAGACACAGATTTGATCCCTGGGTGAGGAAGATCCCCTGGGAAAGGAAATGGCACCCCACTCTAGTATTCTTGCCCGGAGAATTTCTTGGACAGAGGAGCCTGGTGGGCTACAGTCCATGGGGTTGCAAAGAGTCAGACATGACTGAGCATGCACACATAAAATGTTGTATATGTATACACACATACAGTGTTATTAAAAGCACAACAGGCTTAATAACAGGCTTATATTAAATACTTGTTTAATAAGGGAATGAAATAATTCCAAGGAATCTGAAGATGAAAGTGTTTCTAAACCAGGCATGTCTGATGTACAGCAAGCCAAATGCTGAGATGTGCAGCACAGAAAAGGTTTTTCCAAGAGGCAGCCAAGCAAGCAGATGGGAAAGCAAACTTCAAATCCATCTTCCCAAAGGTGAGGGGCTCGGGATATTTACAGGCAGAATACAGGGTGGTCAGAGGTTCAGGGGAAGGTGACTGAAGGCAGGAAAAAGTGAAGTAATACTGCTCTCTACAAGTCTATCTACATTACCTGCTTCTTCCTAGGATGCATGTTCAGAAAATAGCAGCATTAACATAACCCGAGGGTGGAGTTTTTGGTCCTCTGATGTTGAAAGATCATCCATTGGACATTTACATAGGTCCATTTGAATGGTGAGTGGTCTAGATTAACTTGAGCTGAGCTAGAACTAGTTCCAAGTTGCTGAAAAACAACTTAGGCAATCATTAGTATTCTGGCCCACACATTAGAGGTGTTATCTATATGGGACCGTTAAAGGAGTCTTGTGATATACCGTCTAAGAACCTATGTGAAGCTTGGACAGTATACAGTTTGCAGGAACAATTAAAGTGAGCTTGGTTAGTGAAGGTAGGTTATAATTTATTGTTTATTAGACAAGCAAGTTATAGTTTAATGAATCTAATCCTCAGTTTTAAAAGTATTTTGGACATCCCAGTGGAAACCAGAAACAATGAAATAATATCTTCAAGGTTCAAGACAGAAAATAACCAATGTACCCAAGCAACTGATATACTGTGAACCCATTTTTCAAAGATAAAATTAAACTACAGGTATTTCAGGAAAACAGAAATTGAGTGATTTTATTATTCGAAGAATTACCAAAGAATAAAGATCAGAAAGAAAGAAAATCATTCTAGAGAGCAAATTTGATATAAAAACTGGCAAATATGTGGGTCAACCCAAATGTTTATATTATGAAAATAATAACAATAAGTTCTAAATTGTTAAATTATTGGGGTAAAAAATCAAGACAAACTAAAAGTCTGTAGGAAAATATAGTCTATAAGTGAAAGGTACAAAATGAGCTAAAATATTCAGATGACTTACTTGTCCAAAAAAGGGATAAAGATATTGATGACATAGTCTAAAGGAAAGAAAGAAACTTTTCTTTACCTGAAATGTAGTATGAACTAAGAAAAAATTCAGTTAAAATTGTAAATGTAAAGAAATACTAAAGCACACCCTTTATAATTCCTTTAAAACATTCCCTTTAGAAACAAGATGAATCTGATCACTATCAACATTTGCATTCAATGTTGGACTGCATAGACTTGCCAGTACCATAAAAAAAAGAGATAAATATATAATGTAAGAGAATTGGAAAGATAGAAATGAAACTATATTTTTGTATAGATTGTATGATTGTCTACATTACCACAAACTAAAAAACCAAAACTACAAAAGAAAGGAGTTGTTAATAGCTATAAAATACATAAAAGAAAAAAAATGTGCAAAATTTATATTTAAAATGATAACATTTATTGAAGAATGTGAAGGAAAGCTTTTAAAATGTGGTAATACAACATATTCATAGATGGGAGTAATCAATGCTCAAAAGATGTCAATTTTTCAACATGCATATATTTTTCAGGCATGTTGTTTTTTAATCCCCTAAAAATTCCTAAGGGCATTCTTTAATAAATTTGGCAAATTTATTCTAAAGTATATATGAAAGACCAAAGGGCGAAAAACCAGCCAAGACACTTAAGAAGAAAAATTAGCTTAGGGGACATATAAAGATATTATGACAGACTTCCTCTGTGGTCCAGTGCTTAAGACTACCTTCCTCCTCCTTCTGCATTATCGGGGGTGTGGGTTTGATCTCTGGTTGGGGAAATAAGATGCCACATGCCACGGGGTGTGACCAGAATGTTAAGTAAATAAATAATAGCTAATACATTTTTTTAAAGATGTTGTGGCTCATTATAATGTGCTGTATTCAGTACAGTATAATTTTGATTCTGGGGTAGAATGTTGTGGTTGTTCAGTAGCTCAGTCATGTCAGGGTCTTTTCTAATGAGTCAGTTCTTTGCATCAGGTGGCCTAAGTAATGGAGCTTCAGCTTCAGCATCAGCC